CCAACAACCACATATTTGTGAGATGATTGAAGGGTGGGGTTGTGGTTTGTTGGGCGGGGGTGTGGTTGCTAGCTAATTGGGTGGAGGGTGGGATAGCACCAACACAAGTGTACTTAAACTACGCTGGGAGGCAGCTGCTCCCAGGACGAACTTTGTTTAGCAAAGAGCCTTGATGCCGTAGGTCTCTGCTGATGCCAACATTGCCTTAAAGTAAACCACTACTGCCTGAGTCGAGTTGTCTTCGTGTCCTTTACTCAGGGTCCCGGTAGGATTGTTGACAATCAGCTTAGCAACAGACAATTGTGGTTGTTAAGTCGAGACTTTTTCTTGCAAATTGTACATTTATTCCATTCTGAATTTTGAGAGAGGTGTTTTAGTTTGGCAGGGAGAAAGGAATCAATTTCTTTGGAGGAAATGTATGTCTTTTGACTTTTGTCTTGAGAGGAAGCTTATGGCTTTATTCTACCCATTCTTTTTCTCCTGGGCTTTGTGACTTGTAGTATGTACCGGTAGCACAGGTCATTGCAAGGCCAATGTGCTACATGATCTTTACTAAAAAAAAAGATCACCCACCAGCCTTTGATCCATGATCTCAGCTTGACTTCAAAAGTATTCAGTGGGATATCAGTCTAGATCACGGATGTCCAACCTTGGCAACTTTGAGACCTGTGGACTTCAACTCCCAGAATTCCCCATCCAGCATGGAAGTTGAAACCCACAGGTCTTAAAGCTACCAAGATTGGACATCTGTGGTCTAGATCAGGGCTTTTCAACCAGTGGTATGGGTACCACTTGTGGTACATTGGCACCTGGTAGGTGGTACACAACCATCCTAGAAAAGTGGTAGTGGGGGAGGGGAATGAGCTGAACCGGTGGCAGCACCGCACAAGCCTGAGCGAGAGATGGCTGGAGTTGCAGGGCTGTCAGGGCTCAGTGGAAGAGCCAGGATCAGCACCAGGCTCCAGCTGGAGCTCAGTGCTGATCCTGGCGCTTCTGCTGAGCCCTGAAAAAGCACCAATCAGTTGGAAAGCAGCACTGATCCTGGTGCTTCTGCTGAGCCCAGAAGAGCCGATCAGCTGGAATGTTTCAGCATCTCCAGGGTCTTGTGATTTACATTCAGATGCTTGGCAACTGATTCATATTTATGACGGTCACAGTGTCCCAGGGTCATGTGAAGTGACCAAAACCTGCTGCAACCACCCAGCAGATGGGGGGGAATAAAAAACAAACACCCCTCACCCCACCCCCACAGCCAATCCTCAACAGAAATGCTCACAACAATGAAAACCTTGGACAGAAGGAAGAGCGCCGCCAGGTGGGCAGGCAGGCGTCTTGCTCGTCTGTGGCTTAGAGGGCACTTTTTCAGTGCCATTGTAACTTCAAACAGTCACTAAGTGAACTGTTGTAAGTCGAGGACCACCTGCACTTTATCACTTTTTTCCTTTTGTTTTTTTGGTCATCAAGTTTTTGACACCTTGCTAGGTGACTGGTGGTACTCGGATGTTGCCATACCCTAAAAGTGGTACAATGAGTGAAAAGGTTGAAAGCCCTGGTCTAGATCTCTCACATACAGAGGGAGGATAGGAGTCAAAAAAGTCAAAATGGTGGCCCAAGCAAGTGATCAATGGCCAACTCTTCTTTATGAACATAATACAACATCTTAAAAGGACATGGGACTTAATTGCCAGGCTGGCCACCTTGATTTTTCTGAGCCCATCTTTGTAGCAAACCCGTTTGATTAGAGGTCAGGCTAGAGACAGACAGATGAGTCAGCAGAGAGGTGGTAAATCATAAAACTGTAGTGGAAAATACTGCAGAACAAATTTAAAGAATAGAAAGGTGTGGTAGAAATTAGGGGAAAAATTGATGGCTTCGCCCTCTCATCTCTGGCTTAGATAACATGAATTTTATTAATATTTGTGCCCCTGGCAGGTTCTGATCTGGATTCAGGATTGCTTTTCAATGGTGCCCCTGCATCAAAGCTACAGAAAGAGACCAGCTTAACCTTGGCTATCCTGACCCTTATGGAAAATCCAAAGAGAACAAGCATCCAATATCTCTCTGAGTTTGGCAGTGTACAAAACTAATTGCTTTTTCAGTTGCTAATATGTATTCGGTGGCATGATTTTTATCCTAAAGGCTTGAGTAACAGCTTCATTGTCCTGCTCTTTTGTTGTAGCATCAAAAATACTGCAATAGATCACAGCATGTTTGTACAGGTGATCCTCGATTTACAATCATTTGTTTAGTGACCAAAGTTACAGCAATATGTCAAAAAGTGACTTATGATTGTTCTTCACACTGCTGACCATTGCAGCAGCATCAGGGTCACATGATTAAAATTCAGACACTTGGCAACCGGCATGTATATTTATGATGGTTGCAGGGTTGCTTAGCAATGGAAATTTGGGGCTCAGTTGCAGTCATAAATTGAGGATTACCTGTAATTATTCTTCTATGGTGGTCCTGCAGTTTGCCAGTCTGTGGTCCTTTTGAAATCCCTTTTTACATGAAAGATGATTGTTCTATTTCCCACAAAATAAGCAGGCAATGCATTTTCCCCCGATGTGTCTTGATAATTTGCTTGACTAATTTCTTGCTATAATCCCATTAATAATTTCACTGATATTGATATCAGTACCTCAAAACCAGATTAACCGGCAACCTAAGTTATTTATTGCATTTATAGTTATTCCAATATTTGTATACGTTAAACATAATTTAAGTACCTTTAACTGCTTCCAATTTCACAGTTGTTACAAAGAACAATTCAGAAATGGTGAGCCCTTAACTAATAGAGACCAATAGTTAAGAGTCCACTCAGTGTATTCCTAGACATTAAATAAATAAAAATCTACTGGTAATCTAAAATGCATTTTCTCCCTAAAAATATTTTGATTCCATTCACCATCCTGGAGCTGAAGCTTAAAATACTTAGATCTAGACAAATGTCCTCTTTAGAGAATCTGTCCTTTTAGAAAAAGCCTATATATACAGAATTTTCTCTACACACATATTGCAATAATCAAAATTGTGTTGTGGAGAATGTACTTATGGAAAATCAAAATCATTCATCTCCTTTCCTCAAGAATATCAAACCAAATTGTAACAGAAATCGGAAGGGAGGGGCTGGAGGTCCTGAAAACTGGGGTGAGGAAGAATTAATGAAAGGGATAAAGGTACTCTTCAATTCAGTTCAAAGTTATGATGGACACCTTCCCCCCCCCCAAAAAAGGTACTTAGGACCTGGCTGCCATATGACCACATCTTGAGCAATCGGCAACTGGCCTGCAATATGGCCATTTGAAGCATCCTGGAGTCCCGTGACCATGGTTTACAACATTTTTGGTGGAAACCAGCATTTACTTGATTGCAAAAGAGCACTTCCATAGCAAGCAATGGGTTCACTTAATGACCACCACCAAAAAAAAATCATAAAATCGGGCAGTCACATGATCATCCACTTGACTGTAACTTACAATTAATTGTGGGCTCAACTACAGTTGTAAGTTGACGACTATCTGTATTACGGTCCTTGTACCCAATTACCTTGAACATCAGGTCCTAGGAAGATTAGAGGGATCAAATGCAATCCATAATTGCCATCAGAACCTTCTATCTTTTACAAAGTTCTGCTCCTTGCAAAGTATATAGGGGAAATGACTTTTACTAAAGGGCATAAGCTTTTGTTTATTAGATGGAAAAAGTGCTACTTGAGTCCTGTTTTTCTTTCCCATTGAAGTTACAACTGGTCCTCCCCTCCTTTGATCCACAACAAGAAATCCACAAGTAAAGATCTAAAAACTGGAGAAAGTGGGGAAAAAAAAATTCTTCCTTATATTTCCCTATAATTGGACCAGCCCTGAAATTTCTTGGAAAGAATGAACATCAAATTTAACACTCATTATTACAGCTCAATAAACATAGCAATAAGAGAGTGTATTGTGAGGCACACTTTAAATATTTATTATAATTTATGAGGTAAGAATATTTCACTCAAGGAAGGAAAATTATTGATTTTATATAAACTCATTAGTGATTTATATACTATAAAATAATCAAAATTGTTTTTAAATAATTTTGGAAATAACTTTCATATCAAAGATTCCAGCAAACTGAAAAGCAGCACAAAGTAAAATGCACTGAAATTTTTTTTTAGGGAAAAAAAAAATTTAAAATGCTGGGAGTTTTTTTTAACCCTCTTAAAACATTGGATTTGCAAAAAAAAAAAAAAAAATCTTCAGGAGATTGCAATCAGTAATAGCAACTGATAACTCACTATGTATATGAATTTGTTTCCCCAAAGTAAGACACATTTTTACAGCCTAAAAAATAAGCACCCTATTGAATGAACGTGTGTAAACATCACCAAACTTAAAAATTTCCAGATGGGCATAGATTTTGCAATTTAAACCAGGCAATTCATTAGTGTCTGTCAGCATTAAAGCTTAACGCCTTTAAAATGCAAAGTTTTTGTTCTGTTTTGAACACAGAATTCCTACTTATAAGAAATTACAATGAAGCCAATGGGTTTTCTAGCTCTGCACAGTGAACAGCTTAGACCTTTTTTATGCCAAGCACCCACTTTTGATTTTTTTTTCTTCAACACTGAAGCTGCAAACTATAACTATATAAAAACAAGCTAACAGTGTAAACATAAATTCATGCCCAATTTTTGAACCTGGAAGAAAAAGAACATATTTGCATGTCAAAATTCACTCTGAAATCCAGGACCTTCTTTCTCTGAAGATTAAGCCCAAGAGATATTTGTTGACTTAACAAGAACACTTCAGTTTTGCAACCACATGTCCAGGATCTGAAATATAGCAAATTCTTCTAAACGCATTTATCGAAACTCAAAATTGGCTAGATTTGTGAATTCTTCAAGGAGGTTCTGGTCTAAAAATTTTGAAAAAAAATATTTTTGTTTCTCTTGCATTTCTACAACCTAAATACCTCTTTCATTCCTTTGTAAGAAAGAATCACCAAACACCAATAAACACACTTCAAAATAAAGTTTAATTATGTCACAAATGTCCACTTTGCACTATGTAGTATCATCACTACTGGTAGGCAATATAAAAAGACTTTCCAGCATAGGAAAACCATGGGAATCATGCGATCCTTCAGGAAGACGTGTACACACGCACACACACTGAAAGCTGCAAAATACTGGGCAAGACTCATTTTACCACAACATTCGATCACAATGCACCAAAATGTGTACTGAAAATGCTTATTAAAAGAGAAGGCAATCCGAATCTTGAGATTTAAAGTAATCCACTAAACTTGCTTTATTTTCTTTATTGTTGCTGTTTCTTGTTGCCAATGATGTGATCAATATACTTTCTTATTGGAATGGAGATAGCTGGAGAGCCTCTAAAAAGACAAGCTGACCCCTTTGCTATTTGGGTAATTACTAACAAGAGAAAAGAGTTCAGTCTCTATAATAACGCTCTAGTTTAAATTTCAAGTCTAGGTCAAACTACAAGATCTTGTAACTGTGATATCCATCGTTTGCAGATTATTTTCTCTGGTGCTACCTATATCAATATTTTTCAAATATCTTGGTAAATCGCACCACCAAATCCAATAAATAAACCAGAATAAACCAGGTCTTGAAAGATATTCCTAAAATTGTTAAAGAATACCTAATTTCCCACATGCCTAATTAACTACAAGTGTGCATTTTCAGAAGTATAATTGGTACAATTCAGCTCCATAAAGATCAATGTGATTTCATTATGAATTCTACTACTGTAATCACCATAGAAGGTAGAGTGTATCACATTTTCCCATCTGATTCTTTGGCTATAGCGAAGTTTTGTGATTGTGTAAATGCTGTCTTACAGAAGCATCAGAAATAGGAAGCCACTCAAACCTTTTCAGTTTCCTGCAGTTTTTAGAATAATGTGTCAGACACCCTGGGCTATAAGAGAAAATCAAAATGGTGGTCAGGTCTGTAGTCACTGGTATCTTCAGTCTAGAACAATGTTTCTCAACCTTGGCTACTTTAAGGTGTGTGGACTTCAAGTCTTAGAATTCCCCAGCCAAGCAAGAGTTGAAGTCCCCACAACTTAAAGCTACTGAGGTTGAGAAACACTGCTCTAGAGCAAAGGCTAGACTGGATTATCCAGTGGGATTTTGTTTTTTTAAAAAAGATGATAACCAGGACCAAACAATCAAAACCCTACCTCAGGGGTCTTCAAACTTGGTCCTTTTATGACTTGTGGACTTCCAACTCCCAGAATTCCTCAGCCAGTGTGGCTGGCTGAGGATTTCTGGGAGTTGAAATCCGTAAGTCATAAAAGGGTCAAGTTTGAAGACCCCTGCCCTACCTCAAAAAAAGATGGGGTTTCAGTTCTGCAGATGCTTTGGCTGTTGGATGCAAATACTGGCCTTACGCTGATTTGGTTCTTCTGGATGTGCACCTGTGATATGGATCCGACAGAAAGTCAAGTCTCTGCCCCCAACACATTATATTCTCCCATGCAAGCTCTCATGTTTCTCCCAGAATTTAGGACCTTAATAAATTGGAAATGGCTCTCAGCAGGACATAAAATAACAAGGGAATTCCAAACTCTTTTATTAAAGGGGGGGAGAGAGAAACCTGGAAAATAGCAAAGCTAATATAAAGGCAAAAAGCATTTCTTAGAGATCTGGATCACCTTTGATTTTATTAATAAAGACTTGCCTTTTGAAATGGTTCATGCTTTACTTGGAATTTTGACATTGATTACCAAAGCGAAAAGAAATAGAAGTGATAATTGACAAGTGAGGAGAGGTACTGGTTGATTGATTAATTGATCTGTGCATCCCTTGGTTCAGTGCAAACAGAAGAAAATTCACATCATTAAGGGAAGTCTAAGACCAGAAAATTCAGATGCTACCAGACTGCTGTGAAAACTCCAAGATGGGTGAGGAGGGAATAAAACAATATTGGGTGAAAAGTTCAGGTGGGAATTGCTACATTCATTTTGCATAAGCATTTGCCTCATATTCAGCACTGTTGGTGGTATACTGGTTTAATGTGGACACGGTAGCAGCTGCAAAGAATATACTTGACATGGTACCACCACCTGCTCTTGCTCATGTCAATTTTTTGGCTGTAATTTTAGAACCTCAAATCATAAATTAATTCCTGACATTTGTTTAAATTATCCATTTTTTTTCATGATCTACAGATGGGGAATGTACTAAATAGGCCAGAAAAAGACACATGCAGACAAAAGGACCCAAAGTAGAAGATATTATCAGCAACAGCATACTTAATCAGCATTCTATTTTTTATTTTACTTTTTTTTTTTCTTAAACCCCAACTCTTCCACCAAGCAGTGAATTCTGGGCTCTCCCCGCCAGTTCAGACTACAGAACTGCTGTTTGTCAAGAAAGTGCTTGGAAGTCATAAGCAGCCCAGGGATCAGAGTTCAGTTGTGCTCTGCATCGCGCAATCGACATCCCACCGCAGTGATAAGGGCGGCTCCTTTGCCGCTGCCGTCTTCTGAAAGCAGGAATGTCACGTTGCATTTGGGCGCCAGATCCTTTACTGTTTGGTGCATGACCTTTGAAAAGCTGCAGAAAGCAGAGAAGCGGTGAAAAATCCTTCTTCCACCCAACTGAAAATGGCTCTATCGTCTAAATAGGCTGGATGGGATAGGATGGGATCGACTTGCAGCCAGTGGGCAAAAACAGCATCTGTGGGAAGGTCAACACCTGCCCAGTGGCAGATGCAGTGGGTGCATAAGAATCCCTGCTCTTTCCAATCTGTGATGTCACTCATGCACAAAAGCAACAAAGCATCTATTGCAGCACAACACCCTCCGTCTTGCTGATTCTGGCTCAACTATAGGCAGGAAATTTAATTTAATTTAATTTTTTATCACATTTCTACACTACCCATCTTACTTAAGTGACTCTTAGGAGAATGACCAAGATGTGGAAATGTTTTTCCTACATTATGGCTAAAACGGGATGGTTATGTAAATGCATGGCCAGACATATTATATAAAATAATGTCATATACATTTTATACAACAGCCTTCTCCAGCCTGGTGTTCTCAAGATATGTTGAGACTGCTTTTCCTAGAACTGCCAACCAACCATCTTGAGGGAGGCTGCTAATACAGAAATGTCTGGCAGAAACTGTCCAAGGAAAGCCAGAGGCACAGATTGACACATGCTCTACGCACAATCTGGGATGTGGCTGGAATAGGCAAACATTTCTTTTCATTCACACAGAAACAAAACTGAACATCCTGTCGAATTACATACATCCCCCACCCTTCATTGGTCACTCAGAAAATAATGCTGGAGAAAGAGAGTATACAGTAATCACATATATCATATTTTTGTATTTGGAAATAAATTTATTTGTTGAATTTATTTGCTGCCTATCTTGCTTTATAAGGTTATTTTGAGTGCCTTATAAATAATAAAAAAGGAAGAAATTCAAAGGAGTATAAACAGAAATAAAATAGAATCCATAAAATAAACAATGAAAAACGAATACAATGAGAAATACATCAATAAGATGACCAAAAGAGGGATGGGTTAGGTAGAGAGCAGGGAGGGGAGGGAAGATTATAAATTTTATATAATTTAATTATAATTTATGCACATATGCATATACTGCATATAGGAAGAGTCACTTGTGGTGAGATGGACAGCAAATAAATTTAATAAATAATAAATAATAAAAGATGGAACAACACAGGAAGAAGAATTAATCTGCAATAGCTTCAACTCAGCATGTCAACCCTGAGCCTCTAAGAAGAGTTCCATCTTATCAGCTCTTACATCCTCTGAAAACCGCAAAACTCACAATGAACCGTCAGAACATCCCATGTTTGCATTAACATACATGATCGTAGTGGTTATAAAGCAGGGATCTTCAAACTTGGCCCTTTTATGACGTGTGGACTTCATCTCCCACAATTCCTCAGCCAGGCACTCTGGCTGAGAAATTCTGGGAGTTGAAGTCCACAAGTCATAAAAGGGCCAAGTTTGAAGACCCCTGTTATAAAGGTACTCGGAGCCTTAATTACGATATTTAAACCATTCAGAATCCAACATTTGCTCCTACCCAGACAAACTCACACAAAATACTTACTGTGGATGAAGTTTGTATAGTGTGCCATCTACGCCCACTGTTACGTCCAGATGCTCCAAGCCTCTGTTCTCCCTTATTTTATCTACAACAGCAGCCATTCCAGCGCCACACAGCTGAGCTGCTCTCCGCGACACAGCTCCACATACTGCCTTCACAATTATACTGTCATCGCAAGTGCTGTTCAGGCCAAGCTGCTGGAGGATGGTACGGACCTGAAGCAACGCTAATCTATCGCTGTTGAAAAGGGGCATGAAGGGGACAGAGTCAAGTACTTGAACAACTTTCCAAAGTCAAGCATCTCATTTGAGGACGAAACTAGCTCGGGGATCTCTACCTCACTTTCAACATTAGGCCACATAGATTTCACTGGGAAAAGATTTCACATCTGGAGCATCTTTGCAGGCAACATGCAGACCCTACACATTATCTATTCTGCTTATGCAGGGGTCTTCAAACTTGGCCCTTTTATGACTTGTGGACTTTAACTGCCAGAATTCACTGGCTGAGGAATTCTGGGAGTTGAAGTCCACAAGTCATAAAAGGGCCAAATTTGAAGACCCCAGCGTTAATGTAATGGTACATAGGGATGACCTTGGGAGACAGGAGGGAGAGTTGAAGACTGGACAGAAAAGGAGTAAAAGGTTGTCTCAGCCTACAGAAAGAAGGAGGATGCAGGGTATGTTTTACAAGGGCCCCTCTCTGATTTTCTAAAGTAGAAGGAAAAGAGGGGAGAAATACTTTCAGTTTTGCAAAATTCTGTTAATATAAGCTTTCAATAAAGACAGGGCTAGTGCTTCTGGTCTGGGCTACCTCGCAGGGCTAACAGCTAAGGCCAATTTAGCCAAACCATAAATCAGGATTCATTTAATTCCACACAAGCAAGATGTTTTTATTTATCCAGCATCATTTTGAAATCTGGCTCAGGAATTCTGGGAGTTGAAGTTCACAAGTCATAAAAGGGCCATTGTTTCCCACCCCTAAGCTAGAAGATGAGGGCAACATATTAATGTGAGTTTGTGAAGAAAATGTTAAATGAGATAGCTAAGGAAAAGTGACTGCTAACATTTATGGAGATAATAACAAGCTCCATTCCAGATATATGCACACTTACCTCTCAATCTGTGAAAGAAACTTGGTTTCAAAAATGCCCCTAGTTTTCAGTGTTTCTGAAATTTGACCTCTGAAGAGGAATCCTCTTTTTGTGAAGTCAATCAAAATGTTACGGACAATTTCCCCTAAATACATTCCACTGATCATCTTCTCATACCTAAGATCATGGACAAAAATACCGGTTCAGAAACACTGTTAGTAAGAATGACAGAAATTAAGTGTTAAGAAATTAAGTGTTTTTATAGGGAACAAGATTTCTTTGGGAAAGATGTTATAAATATTGGATGGCTTAAGCAGAAGTGGGTCAGTCAGCTCAGAACTGAATGGCAACAGTCTCCCTCTGTAAAGACCAAGGAGATTCTCTGAAAAGGGGACACGCAAGCTTCTTTTTCCTTTCTTGTAAGAAAAAGGTTTTAAAATATTACTGCCTTTTTCAGAAGCATATTAGGGAGGAGAAAGAAACTGTTGTAAGCCGAGGACTACCTATATTCTTCCTGATTCAAAAATCCATGTAATCTGAGAAGCCATGTCCCATGTGCCTTTCACATCTGTTAATGTGTATGACAATCCTTCCATTTCACACATTTCCAATCTCCTCTGATTTTTCCTATGCAGGTAGTTTTCATTCAGCCACAACAGATTCCAGGAACTTGATCATTAAACACTGTGCTCTGGAAGAAAAACGACGACTATTCTTACCATATTATTTCAGCTTTGCTTTACAAACCTGTCAAGGTCCTGGGTGCAAGAATTAGTTGCAAAGTTACATTTTCATCACTATCAGAACTGTAAATGGTCACTAAATGACCAATGTATTGGCAGAGTACAGGCCAAAGGAAGGGAGGAAAGAGAAAAGGTATGCTTTTCTCCTGAACATTTTTTGGGGCGAAGGGGGAAGCGATGATCGTAGTTTATTGTATTCTTCCACATTTATCAGGAATCAAAACTTATAAGTTATCTCCCAAACCGACAGCTATTTCTTCTCATTCCACCGAAAAGATTTCTGAGCACGCTCAGAGTCTCCATTGCTGACTGGAAAATCCTAGCCCATTTCAAATCAAGGGTGGTTGTTGCCCATCTTAAATGGAGGTGGACAAAAATACTTCTTCTGACTTCACATTGGATTTTTGCCTGCTATCCTCAGGATCTTGTAAAAGAAACCACAGCAATTTTACTGTCCCACAAATCTACATTCTGAGTGAAAGCTCTCAGTCTCTGGCTGAATTGTACACCCTTCTGTTCTCCAACAGTACTGCTCACAACTGGTGATAGCCACCTCTGCTGCAAAAGAAAGCCACATGACTTCATATTTCTCATCATATTTCAGTAAAAAAATGCTTACCTTTGCTTGCCACTATTTAGTGAATATTCATCCACAGCTTTGTCATAGATTGTCCTGATATCATCTAGGCATCCGTTGTCCCCAAAGGCGCCCCATTCCATGTTCACACACATCCTGCCCTGGTCTCCCTCTACCATTTCAACATTTCTGGCTTCTTCCATGTAGCAGGCATTGCTCCCAGTTCCTGGAATTAGGAAATAAACAGGCTCACAACCAGAAGAGGAGTTTGTCCAGGAGCTGGGACCTGCAACTTTCTTAACTTGAAGGCTATACCAGCATGTTATGGACCCAGGATATCACGGACATCCCAAAGGGGGCAGAGGCCCCAGAGATAAAAACACGTATCTTGTGGTCATGATACAAACCCAGAGGTAGAGATAAAAATATATTCCACTCAGTTGAATTCTAGATTTTGGTTTCTTCCCTAAATAACACTTTGAGGGAGATTAGGCTAAATAAAATAGGTTTTCCAATATCATCCTGTGATTCCATAGCTGAACAGAAATTTGAACCTAGATCTCAGTTCAGAAGTATGAACAGCTAATAAAAGGCAACTATTTATGGATTGTTTTGTTAATTGAGTTCAACATTATCGGCAGTGACTTTAGCTTTTACAAAATGTAATTAAGAACTACCCATACTGCACAGGTTATTAAATTCTACCTGGTATTTGCTATTAAATCACTTGCTAAATCCATATTCTGAAAAATTCAATCCTGAGAAAGTATAAGGAATTGAAAGAGGTTCTGGCAATTAAAAAAGGAAAATGGGAGATTTGGCCATCTTCTTGCCTGAAATTCAAATACAGCCAATAGTTTTGATCTGGCAAAGATAGGATTGCAGATCAACCTGTCTTGTTTACATTGCACGGCTCTAACAAATCTACGTAGCTGAACTGTTCTTTGTTATGTCTATACATAAAACAGCCTAGCAAATTCAGTTAAAATACTCTTTTCAAGGAGGACTTTAAAAACAGCTGAGCGCTCATGACAATTTTGAAATCTTAAAAGATCTTACATAACAACATTACCCCTTGTTCTTTTCTTTTTTGTCCAAATCAATGAATTTCTAAATTTTCAAGCAAGATTTGCCCCAGCCTCTTGTATCTCTGGCAATTTCCATCTGTTTGTTCTTGTTTTCCAACCAGACTTGACTTCAGTCATTATTTTATATTTGTAAGAGTCAAAATAAGAGGTCTTGAGACTTCATTGCCTTCTAACTGAAATTACAATCCTAACTGTGGTCTTAAGTCAAAGAGTAGCATTCTCTTTCATATACACAAGTCCCCCTCTCACACAGCACACATGCTGCTTTCCCATACAAAGGGCACAGGAAGAGGGAGATGCTTTGGTTTGATGAAAAGCCAAATCAAACAGTTTATCCCCAACATAACTAAATGTGGTCCATAGTCATTCACACATCCTGGCCACACCTTGTCAAGATCTACTCTCATCAGCTTTCTGAATTCACAAATGGGGGGGGGGAGAAATCCCGCTTTCCAGGGGAATTGATACTAAGGATTGGAAAGCATATAACTGCTTCTGGAAAAGCTTCTGATTTGAGAAATGTAAACGTCAAATCAGTTAGAACATAAAGTAAAATTATTAAAATAAAAAGGAAGGTTTGGCATGGTTGAAAAGAGAATCTATTGTGTAAATAAGCTCAACAAAATGTAAAGCAAGCCTCAGACTTACCCACAATGAGTCCTATTTCACAATTCGGATCTTCATAGGCACAAGTCATCATAGTTCCAACTGTATCATTCACTACAGCCACAACATCCAGTTCAAATTCCTTGAAAAAGACAACATTATAACACCATCATTTTATTAGGGGGGGAGTCAACCCAGCATTTATGATCTGTTCTTTGCTTTTTGCCAATATCCTAATGATCAGGAAAAGAGGGTTTTCTTTCAACTGATAGCAATGAAACATTCTTCATATCAATTACAAACACAGCCACATATCAACCCAGCACCTTCCTCTTCAACCTGAGAATGTTAAGTTGAGGAAATGTTAGTTACTAACTGACTTGAATGGTCTGAAAAAAGCTAAGTCTGTCTTCTGGTAGCAGCCTGGAACAGCAGCACCCAACCTTTCGGGCATCAGAGACTGATTCTGTGGGGAGAGGTTTTTCCATGGACCAGAGGGGGCGTGGTTTCATGTGCTGCCTGCATCTCGCAGATGGGGCTTCGCTTGTTTGTGTGGCCCAGTTGCTGGCATGCTGCGGACAAGTGCCGGTCCACAGACCAAGGGTTGGGAACCCCGGGCCTAGAATGAAACAGCTAATCTTAAGAGGAAAAAAGCAGAGTTCATATTACAAAGATTTATTAAGGAGTTAGTAATAGTACAAGACTTTCAGCAAAGGATCCTTTCAACTAAGAAATTCACGTACAGGCAACTACAGGTAGTTTAACCTACTATGCCCCAGTCGGAGGCTGAATCTGCTGAGGAAGATGAGCTGGACCTGGAGATCGAGGGGGAGGCGTCGTTAATGGCTTCGGAGGAGCAGGCCGAAGCAGGCCAGGGCCTTTCAGGATTTGGACAGCTTGAAGGCAGAGAGGAGCAGGGGCAGGATGAACATGAGAGACAGAACTCAGGCGATGAGCAAGGGACACCCCCTCCTGATCCTAGAGCATGGAAAGTGGAGAGAAGGAGCAAACAACGCAGGCAGGTCCGACTACTCATGAGGAGAGCACCCCACCCCTCTCCACAAGGCATACCTGGGGACTAAGACTTAAGGAGATGCTGTGGGGAGGGGCATTTGTTGGGAACAAACGCTGAATTATTGGAGGTTTGTGTGCCGTTGCCAAAGTTGGAAACAAATCTCTGATCTCTTGTTCTGTGTTGTGATTTCTACTTGTAAACCCTGAAACTCTCACAGTTAGACTGGCTGACAAGCTTGATTTGGTGCTCCAAACCTCAATTTCAATTTTGGCTTCTCTTCTGAAACTACTCAGACAAGCTTGTATTTCCACAGACTCCTTAGATTTGGATGTATGTTCCTTTCTTTGTTATCTACTTGGCCTTGAGTAAATTGCTCTTCTAATCTAAAAAACTTTTGAAACTACTTGCAGCCAAAGGCTGCTGAAGGGGTGTGTGTGTGTGTCTGTGTGTGTATGTATCGTTACTTGTTCTGGGTCTTGCCAGGAATGTGGGAGCATTTGGGGAACATTTGGAGCAATAAAGGGGTGGTTTGAACTGCCAGCTGACTGTGTTGCCTCTGTGCCGTGCCCTGGGTCATCACATAACCATTCATTTGGTAACCATTCCAACTTAAAAGGCTCTGAAAAAAGAGACTTACGACTGTTTTTCATATATATTGTAGCATCCCCATGGTCACGCATGTGATCAAAATTCAGGTGCTTGGCAAATGGCATGTAATTATGACGGTTGCAATGTCCTGGGGTCAGGTGGTCACCAACAAAGTCAATGGGGAAGCTACATTAACTTAACAACCGTGTTACTAACTTAACAATATTGGATGATATCCAATTGTATATCTCCACCCCGTGTCCTTTCAGTGAAGCAGTCGACGTGATGTGCCGGTGCCTGGAAGATGTGAGGGTCTGGATGGGGGTGAACAGGCTTAGACTCAACCCTGACAAGACCGAGTGGCTCTGGGTCTTGCCCCCCAAGGGTCATCCTGATGGTCCATCATTGGTCCTGGGAGGGGGGTTAAACTTACCTCCCTCAGTGCAGGCACGCAACTTGGGTATCCTTCTGGACTCACAGCTAAATTTGGAACAACATCTATTGGCTGTGGCTAGGAGGACCTTTGCCCAGGTTCGCCTAGTGCACCAGTTGCGGCCTTATTTGGACCGGGAGGCTCTACTCACGGTTACTCATGCCCTTGTCACCTCAAGACTGGATTACTGTAATGCGCTCTACATGGGGCTACCCTTGAAGAGTGTTTGGAGGCTGCAGTTGGTTCAGAATGCAGCCGCGAGAGCGATTGTGGGTGCACCAAGGTACACCCACGTGTCACCTATCCTCCGCGAGCTGCACGGGCATCCTGTGGGTCTCCGGACGCAATTCAAGGTGTTGGTTATCACCTTTAAAGCCCTTCATGGCTTAAGACCAGGTTACTTACAGGACCGCATACTGCTGCATAGTTCCCAGAGACCAGTGAGGTCCCACAGATTGGGCCTCCTTTAGGTCCCGTCGGCCAGACAATGTCGGCTGGCGGGCCCTCAGTGAAGGGCCTTTTCTGTGGTGGTTCCGACGTGGTGGAATCAACTTCCCCCCAAGATTCGAACTACTCCCACCTTGCCGGCCTTCAAGAAAGCCATTAAAACTCTCCTGTTCCGGCAGGCCTGGGGTTGATGTCCCCGGGGGGGGCGGGACACAATTGGGACATGCTGTATGAACGCACTCATTTTTATTGTTATATTTATTGTTTTAATTTTGTACGCTGCCCTGAGTCCCTAGGGATTGGGCGGCATATAAATTTTATTAATAAATAAATAAATAAATAAACAAACAAACAAACTGCAGCGATTCACTTAACTGGCAAGAAAGATCGCAAAAAGGGGAAAAACTCACTTAACAACTCTCTCGCCTATCAATGGAAAAATTGGGCTCAATTGTAGTCGTAAGTTGAGGACAAGCTGTAATATAGGCACAGAGGATAGTCTTTCTTACAGTTTCTATGTAAAGAAACCTGCCTCTTTTCTGAAGAAGAGGCAAAGACTTTGAAAGTGGCTACTGGTCAGTCCTAGAACCAGTTCTCACACCGTCAGATCTGGTTAGCACCTGGATTGAAACTACCAAAGTTATGGAACTGACCAGGAAGTTGATGAAATGTCCCACAAGACTTCCACAGTAAAATGGCATGACATTAAGAGCCAAGTTCGGTTTGAAGAAGGTGAGGGTATTTTTTTGACATATCAAAGATCAACTAGACTGGTAAGTATTAGAAAATGCTGATTGTTACCTCATGTATTGAGGGTTATCTTTATTTTGTTCTACCCAGGCTGCTGTGTAATTTATTCATTGCTAAAAAAAATTCCTACCCTCTATTTTAGTTTTCTCTTCAAAGTCCTTTATCATGTACAGAATATATCAATTCCAAAGAGGATGAATAAACACATAACCATGCAGTAGCTCCCAACTATTAATTCTTACATGGAAGCAAATAAATGATAGAATGATTCTTGAGAACTACTTTGCTTATTCCCAATACACAGTGATGAGATGAATTCAGATTGCCTATGTTTTATCTTCTATTTTAACATCTGTATCCACAGTTCCTAATTTATTCACTTTTTCAAAGTTTCATCTTCACTTTTGCCAATGATTTAAGGATCTTCCTCATATACTTAAGCTGTCCCAGAGATTGAAATAGAAGTACAAACTGTTCTGTCAGACGGCAGTTATTCTTTATTCTCCTACATTATTTCAAATTTGCTGAATCATGTTGCTCCAATTTTATGAGAACATTTCAAGAGATGTAAGATATGAAAGCAACTATTTCTCCCTTCCAGAATCAACAACTTGACATTGTACATTGTGTGTGGTTTTCTGACAGTCAAATACTACATAGGGATGATGTTCAAAAACAAACTTTCCTTCATAAAAATGAATCACTTATACTATGCAACATACAATAATTATTATATGGGATTAATTCTATTTCATGTTCATTTTAATTTAAGCTTAAAATGAATTCCTAAAGCAAGCTAGAGTCCTCCAAGTATTTTTGGATTACAATTCCCAGTATTTCTAGTCAGCAGGAACAATACAAGGTTTAGATCCAACTACCTGTAGATGGAAGGCATCAGTATTGAAAAGATTACTATATGGTGATTTATATTGCAAAAGTTATGATCCATTCATGGCTCTACTACCAAAGGAAAGAAATGTATACATTAGCTATAAAAAAATTAAAAATAGCAAGTGAGGCACTTTCCTTTAACAATTCATAAAACTGAAAAAAATAAATCTGAAAAAATATAATTTCTCCCTTCTTCCCGAACACTTTCCAGATACTTTCCAACAGTTAAAAGAATGGGTGAAGATCTAGACTTAAATGCATGAACCTTATGGTAATCCCTTTTTGTCTCCCAATCCTTCATGTTACCACATGACTAACAGGGAGCTACAAAACCTGCCCTTCCAGAATGTTCTGTATCTCCTCTGGACATTCCTCATCAGAGGACTGCTGTGGACATAATTTACTTGGACTTCAGTAAGGCATTTGATAAAGTAGATCACAACCTACTACTTGACAAGATAGAAAAATGTGGGGTAGACAGCATCACCACCAGATGGATCCATAGTTGGCTGACCGGCCATACTCAGCATGTGGTCCTCAATGGAACCGCACCTACATGGAGGGAAATGTATAGTGGGGTGCCCCAGGGCTCTGTTCTGGGCTCAGTTCTCTTCAATATCTTCATCAACGATTTGGAAGAGGGGACGTCAAATTTGCAGACGATACCAAGCTGGCAGGAATAGCCAACACTCCAGAAGACAGGCTTAAGATACAAAAGGATCTGGACAGACTTGAACACTGGGCACTATCTAACAAAATGAAATTCAATGGTGAAAAAAGCAAGGTTCTACATTTAGGCAAGAAAAACCAAATGCACAGGTATAGTATAGGGGGTACCTTGCTCAACAGTAATAACTGTGAGAGGGACCTGAGAGTCCTAGTGGACAATCACCTAAATATGAGCCAGCACTGTGCTGCAGCTGCAAAAAAGCTAACACATTGCTAGGCAGCATTAACAGAGGGATAGAATCAAGATCACGTGAAGTGTTAATACCACTTTACAATGTCTTGGTAAGGCCACACTTGGAATACTGCATCCAGTTTTGGTCACCACAATGCAAAAAAGATGTTGAGACTCTAGAAAGAGTACAGAGAAGAGCAACAAAGATGATTAGGGGACTGGAGGCTAAAACATACAAGGAACGGTTGCTGGAATTGGGTATGTCTAGTTTACGAAGAGAAGGACGAGGGGGGACATGATAGCAGTGTTCCAATATCTCAGGGGCTGCCACAAAGAAGAGGGAGTCAAGCTATTTTCCAAAGCACCTGAAGGCAGGACAAGAAGCAACGGTGGAAACTAATCAAGGAGAGAAGCAACCTAGAACTAAGGAGAAACTTCCTGACAGTTAGAACAATTAACCAGTGGAACAACCTGCCTCCAGAAGCAGTGAATGCTCCAACACTGGAAGTTTTTAAGAAGAGACTGGACAGCCATTTGTCCGAAATGGTATAGGGTTTCCTGCCTGAGCAGGGGGTTGGACTAGATGACCTCCAAGGTCCCTTCCAACTTTACTATTACTACTACTACTACTACTACTACTATTACTATTATTATTATTATTATTTTGTCCTAGCCATTCCAGCCTGGTTCAGAATGGCCTGGTCAGTCAGATCTGAAATATTCCATAGTTCTCTAAATTAACATTCTGCTCCTAAAACAATTAATGCTGTCTATGCCTACTGACTAAGAGTTAGTCACATTGCTATGTTCCAACTTATCTATGCTGAGGGTACTGCTTTTTTTTTTTTTTTTTTTTTTGGTGCCTTAGAGTCATTGTTGACTCCTGGTAACCATCTGGCCAAATTCCTGAAATTTCCAGTTTGGCCTATAGCAGAGGTCCCCCAACCTTTGGGGCACCAGAGACCGACTCTGTGGTTTTTCCACAGACTGAAGGGTGCGTGGTTTTGTGTGCTGCCTCCATCTCGCAGATGGGGCTTTGCTTGTTTGTGTGGCCCAGTTGCTGGCATGCTGCTACCCAGCACTGGTCCACGGACTGGGGATTGGGGACCCTGGTCTATAGTATTTAAGGCACCAGGTTAAAAAACAGAAAACTGTAAGTTCAAGTCTCGCCTCGGACATAAAAGGCAGCAGGATGACTTTGGGTCAGTCTATCTCTCTTAGTTCAATCCACCTCACACGATTATTGTTGAGGGGAAAACAGGAGGAGGAAGGTGTGTTGGACATATTTGCTGCTTGCAGTCATTTGTCGTAATAAAGGTGGGATATGAATGAATGAATGAATGAATGAATGATTTCAGAAGTGATTTGAAATTAACTTCTTCCTAGGGCTGAGGGAGAGTGACTGGCCTATGGCCCAGATGGCTTTAAGCATAAGGTGAAAGTAGAACTCAGTTTCCTGGCCTGGAGCCTTAATCACTACACTACACTCTGCTATAATCTGATTCAAATTAGAATAGATCTTAATACTGGGGTCTCTAACAGAAAAAGGCCAATCTTGTGGCCTATCGGCCACTGGAGAACTCAGCGGCCAATTCAGATGAGGAAGCACAGGACTGGGCGCCGGGCTCAATGTCAGGGCCATCTGAAAGCTCCGACAAAGGAATGGAGCTGTCACAGACAGGGACAGACAGACAGGGACAGACCGCCAGCCCTCAGATGGAAAGGTTGAAACCTCCATGCCTTGAGGCAAGTGATTCAGGAGAGGAGGATCTCATGGAGCCAGTGATTGATGCACGGGCACGGCGGAAGCTGAGAAAAGGAGAACAGCGAGAGGCTATGGGGTGGTCTTTGGGGCAGAAGAGGCACCGCTGCTAACGGAGCCCCACCCTTAGGTGTGGCAGAAAACTATTCATCTTCCTGCTGGTCAGCCATTTGTATTTGGAACTCCTGACACTCCTCCTTGGAATTTTGCCAGAGTTTTCCCGCAGATTCTATGGCACTGGGAGTCGGAGCGCCTTCTGAGCGTGGGCATGTCTTATGTTAAAGCTTGCTTGAAGGACTTTTGGCTGCAAGCGTGGTGAAACTGAGAGTAACTGTGTACTGGGAGACCACCACAGGGCAAAAGGGAGCAAGCTCCATTGTTTGGAGGCTGTGTGAAACTGCTGGCATTCCTGAAATAAAAGGAATTTTAGAGACTATTTGGTGTGTCTGTTGTGTTTGGGAAGCCGGGTCAAAACAAATCTTCAGGAATGGAATGAGGAATTCAATCCATTATTTTCTGGGGCATGGGTGGGGGAAGGTTTGTCAAAAAAAAACAAGATGGAAGCCTTCCCCTTTTTTAAAAACTTTGTACATTCAACACACGTACAGAGACAAAGCTTCAATCACTTCCTTATAACTTATATCTAGCTTTTATCTTTTAATATCCCCTCAACAAACGCTTCTGGTTATACTGTTAGATTTTTACCAAAAAACAACATAATTCTAAAATGTTAGCAATAATAGTTTAATGGGAAGCTCACATATAATTTTTGGGTGTATCAGATATGTATTAAATCACCATCAAAGACCAGTACTGCAAAGTCTGTTAAAATCTGCCTTAGTTTCACCAGCACTTTTTTTTGCATATCCTTCACTTTATTGACATGTATGTACTATATTTTAAGTATTGCAGAGAATGTGATGATATATTAGTGATTCAATCAACAATATATTAAGTTTAAAATTATCACAATCCTTCAATCTTGAACCAAAGCAGGTGAATAACTCACCTCTCTTCTTTTAATTCCATCTCTTAGTAAATTAACAACATCCTCTCCTTCACAGTCAGTAGCCTTAAAGCCCTTGGTCCAATTCAAAAGGATACCCTGAAAAACAAAATAAATAAATAAAGTTCATGTCTGATTCCAAACATGTGTTATTAGAACAAACCAGAAATAGTCACCAGAAGCAATACTGGACCTAAACAATTAATGAACACATACGGCAGCCATTTATTATTGTATGCCCAACACAGATTAGGATTACAACTTCCAAAATTCCTTTGGCTCTGTAGTTCCAACTGATCTGGTTGGCATTAGATTGGAGAAAGCAAAATGACGGCATTAAGAAGATGTCCATTACATCTGTGCCATATCTGCTGAATGTTAGACTAAGCTACTTGGGCTTAGGAGAGACACCAACCTGTATTTCCTCAGCTAGATCCCATGAAAGATTATTTGCTATTCAGTGTTAGCTATGCTAAATCTGCCACCCAGAAAAGCCAAATGAAACAAGAAGGTCTCATGATATGACACTCTCCTTTTATCCAATGCCAGTATTTTTAAGATATGTGGACTGCAACTCCCAGAATTCCTCAGCCGCACATCCTAAAGATGCTCAGGTAAAAAACATTGCTCTATGCTATAAATCAACAATGTAAGCTGATAGTAACTACTATTCCTGGAAGTGTCTATTTCAATTTCCACTTCAGAATCACTTTCAAAGCACAGTCTACAGCCATACACAGACAGAAATTAATCTGGGAACAGTTTTTTTTATCACTGCAATTGCATTCCAAACAAAAATCAGCGGCACCTGATTTTATGACCTTTTTTGCTATGGTTATTAAATGCATCACTGCAATTGTTAAGTGAATCACATGGTTGTTAAATGAATCCAGCTTCCTGCATCAACTTTGCTTGTCGGAGGTCAAGTGGGAAGGTTGCAAGTGGCGATCCCATGATCCTGGGATGTTGCAACTATCGTAAATACATGCCAGTTGACAAGTGCCATATTTTGATCACATGACCACAGGGATGCTGCAGCAGTCGTAAGTGCAAGGAGCAATTATAAGTCATTTTTGTCAATGCCATTGTAATGCTGAAGCGTCATTAAACAAATGGTTGTGAGTCAAGGACTTCCTTTGGACAAGAACTCCCACCCAGGTTTTCTTCCCAAGGACAGATTTAAGCAATTTGTGGTTCAACCAGCAACAGTAGGATTTCTCTCCATTTTCATCTATACTGCTTTTGCATTCATAAAAGTCAAAAGAAATGGATCCCGAACAGCAGATGATGAAAACTTACATTTGTAAACAACAAGAGTCACTTACACAATCTAGGCTGGTCTGTTTGCAGGGGAAAGAAAACGTAAAGCCCAGAGGGAGGCAAGCTCCTTTTATTCCCATGTAATCCAGGAAGTCCGAAATGCAGGAGACAATGTGATCGAACAGCTAAAAAGAGAAGGAAATTCCTATCATGAAATATAGGATTTTGTTTTCAAAATTGTATGTAACAAATAATGCCATTATTCATGTAATACTCACCTCATCTCCAGTCCCCTGCATAACTTCTACAGGGATTGAATATATTTTATTGTGCATTTCTACCATCCTTCTTTTACCACTTCGGATCTTCACCAGCAAAACACGGAAATTTGTCCCACCAAGATCCAGAGCCAGGAAGTCTCCATTCTCTGCAAACAAAGGAGTTTTAAACATTAGGAATAAAGCACTTAAATTCTGTTGGAGATGGTGATGTGGCCTGCTGGTAAAGTATCTCATAGGTATCTGGTTGGCCACTGGAGGAGGAAAATACTGCACTGCACTTCACTTGCCTTTCATTGTACAAGTGTTCTCAAGAATAGACACTGGACTATTAATTAATAGTAATTATTAATACAGCTAAATAATAAAGCAGAATAATAGAATTGGAAGGGACCTTGGTGGTCTTCTAAATCAACCCACTGCTCAAGCAGGAGACCCTATACCATTCCAGACAAGTGGCTGCCCAGTCTCTTCTTAAAAGCCTCCAGTGAAGGCAAGCCGTTACATTGGTTAATTGTCCTCACTGTTAGGAAATTTCTCCTTAGTTCCACTGTAGGTTACTTCTCTCCTCGATTAGTTTCCATCCATTGTTTCTTGCCTTGCCTTCTGGTGCTTTGGAAAATAGGTTGATCTCCTCTTTGTGGCAGCCCCTCAAATATTGAAATACTGCTACCATGTCACCCCTAGTCCCTTTCATTATACTAGACTATGTATACTATATAGAGCCACTTGGAAAAAGTTCACTAGCTCTGAAATAACAAAATCAAATGTGAATCTTCACAATTAGTTAATTGACCTAACAATGTACTGAAAATGCAGAAAGGCATATAGTATTTTAATATTAATATCTCATGCCAACAAAACTTGGATTGCTGAGCAATGCTGAATATGACTGATATATATCAGATATGAAGATTTGCCACTAGGTGGCACTGCATTTCCATTACAATTGAAAGGGATACAAAATAGAATACAGAATAACAGAGTTATCGAGAAGGGACCTTGGAGGTCTTCTAGTCCAATTCCCCTACTCAGATTGCTGTCCAATATCTTCTTAAAAACCTCCAGGGATGGAGTACCCATAACCTTTGGAGGTAAGCTGTTCCACTGATTATCCCAGAATTCCCCAGCTAGCCAGTATGCATATAAATGTACGTGGTATTACAGAATTTGTAAATTGCCAACCAATAGATTGGTGGGTTCCAGCCTTCTTTCTTTCTTTTAAAATCATTCTGCATCAATCTGGGGCTCTTCTGATTTTTTGATTTCCATACCCCTAATTCCAGACCAATATCATACTCATTGGAATTTATGGAGGCTGTGTTTGGAAATACCTAACGGGCATCAGATCAATCGTCTCCCCCAAAGGTCATGAGAGAGATACCTGTCCCATCAGGGGTGCTGCGGACAAAGGTGGGCAGCATCTTGACCTTGGCATGGTCATGTGACTTCTTCTTGAGGCCGGCCTCCATCTCAATCCTCATCCGCTTCTTCACCTGAAGCAGCTGTTCGTTGGTGAGCTTGAATTCTGCCAGGGTCTCTGAAATCAACCGGTGCTGCTCTGCCAGCCGATAGGCTACTGCGGTCACGAAAGCTGCCCCCTTTCCACTGCCACTCTCAGAGAGCAAGAAACGCACATCGGAATCAGGCACTAAGCGTCGCACCATTTTGTGCAGGCGCCTGGCGTATCTAAAGAACAAGAAGGGTTACATTCATCTTTCATTTGATGCACAACACAACCACATTCATAGGTCATAGCTAAGGTCTGGCTCACCTTGTGCCACATTCAGCAACACTCCCATCATGCTAACCAGCATCTCTCCTCATACAAAGGTATGAAAGCCATTAATATGGTATCTAGGAGTAACTAAGCCAGTCTGGTGTAGTTGTTAAGGTGCTGGCCTAGAAACAGGAAGATCGTAAGTTCTAGTCCTGCCTTAAACATGAAAACTAGCTGGGTGACTTTGGATCAATCACTCTCTTCCAGTCCAAACCACCTGATAGGATGGTTATTATGGGGAAATTATGAGGAAAGAGTATTGTGCATATTTGCTGCCTTGAGTTACTTATAAGGTAATAAAGGCAGGATAAAAATCTAATGAATAAATAAATAAATAACTACTATTTGAGTACTGTAGGAGCTTATCTGGTCTGAGGATAAATCAATGGAATTGAGACCTGCCAAAGTCATCTCTGCCTGCTTTGTTCAACTGATTAATATAGCTTTTCCTTCAAGAAAACAGAAAAAAATCTTATCTCTAAAATCCCATATCTTGCAAGAAATGCCAGTACATAAATTATGGAGTAACAGGTACAAGAGAAGGCATGAGCAACTTCTTCCTCTGTAACAAAACAATTAAAAATAATTAGAGTTAGATCTCCAAGGGCTGAAAATCAAGACTATCCCTTCAAAGTACAATTTATAAGCATTCAGACAGAAGGAATGGAATCAAGGTTTATTAGAAGCTAATAAAAGTGTTCCTTTCCAATGTTTCAGACTATGCACTTCTTTACAGTTTTCAAAGCATGAATGTGGTTGCACTGTGAGGAAAAGATCATCTAAAACATAACTTATCATTCCTGATGGCAATGAGCTCTACATGGGATGTCCTTAAGAATCATTCAGAAGCTTCAACTGGTCCTGACAGCAACATCACAGGCAGTGACCTGGCATCACCGCTTGCAAAGTTGCACAGCTTCTTGGTGTGCTTTAGGATGTAATTCAAATTTTACTGGTCATCATCTGCAAAGCCCTACATGGAACAGGTCCAGATTATTTGAAGAACTGCCTTCGTACCATTGTTTTTGCCCAGCTAACACATGCCAGCAGAGCTGGCATGCTTTGGATGCCTTTGATAAAACAGGACCATCTACTGCAGAGGTAGGCAACCTTGGCTTTTTTATGACTCGTGGACTTCAACTCCCAGAATTCCTGAGCCAGCATGGCTGGAAACATACCTTCTCTGTTGCAGTGCCTGCCCTGTGAAACAAGGGGCCTCTTAATATCCATAGGACTCCTGCTCGGTTGGCTTTTCTGCAAAGCCTTGAAAACCTGGATGTCCTCCTGGCCTTCACTTAAACTGGTTGGACCCCCACCCCACCCCCCGCTGAATGCCTTTGGTCTATATTTTCATATAGATTAACCAGATCCCATCTTTGTTTTGTACTGTCTTTTTATTGTTTCTTATATTGTGTGCTACCCAAAGGGGTTTGAAGTTGGGTGGGTGCCTAAATGGGAGGGAGGGAGAGATAGAGGGAGAGGGATGGTGGACGAATAGACAGACCACACTGTCTTCTCCCAGGATATTTTTCAATTCCTTAATATTACTTAGAACCCTAGGATTTCCTGAGCATCTCCCATATAATTATTAATTAGATCCTGAATAGATAACAGAGGGAAAAGCATGGCAAGCCACCTTCCCCATTCCCTGATGCACATGCACCCACGGAATAACGTCAGGCACAAAGAATCATTGGTACAGCTGCAGCATAGAAGATTTATGCAAACTAAGACACAAAAATCTGATCAACTAACAGTCAGCACTAAATCAGCACTAGATAAGAGTCAACAGAATTCAAAGGGTGCTGGACTCGGATCTCTTCTGGCAATGCAAGGACTCTAAAGTCTAAACATTTAACTCCGTTCACACAATTCTGCCTGCTCTTCTCCTACAAATACTTAGCAAAATATAATAAAAGCCACAGAGCTTTGCACGTTAGGGAGATGCTTATGGCCCTAGCAGGCCAAGAGTTTACAAATATTGTCCTCTATAAACAGCTATCCATATTGGGATGCACAGAATATGGAGTGTCCTGATATATACAGTATACTATTCATTTATTTATTTATTTATGTATCAAATTTATAAGCTACCCTCTCATCAAAGATGACTCCATTAAACTATTTTTCAGATTCTAGCCTGCATTATTAACTGTCCACATTTCTCTCTATGAAGAATTCTGTTTATTTAGCTAAAGTTCAGAGGGTGTATCAGACAGCAGCATGATGTGCTGCGCAGCTGACCTTTGCTAGAAATGGCTCTTAACAGGTGCTAAGATATAAATATGGAAACTGCACAAGAGCTTACTGCGGATGCATCTTGTAAAGGGATCCGTCCACCCCCACCGTGGTGCGCAGCCGGCCAACTCCTTTATTGTCTCGCAGCTGACTCAGGATAGCACCCAGAGTACTTGCCACCAAGTTTGCAGAGCGGAACGACACAATGGTGCACACGTGTTGGACAGCGATGCAGTCTTCATGGGAAGGCTCAACCCCAAGACGTGTTAGTATGTCTTTGGCTTTATGCAAACCTTCCTTGCTCCTAAAACCAGGAGAGAACGTGCTATGAGGATCTAAAGTTTATAATTTGACATGACAATCTGACAGCAAGTTGCTCATTCAAGTTGCAGGAGATGTGGGAACAGTCTGAGAATGGGTTACAATAATTTCTCCCAGGTGTCATGGGAATTTCATGAGAGTTCAAGAGGGAGACGGGAAACCTGGATAGACACAACTGGATATTATCTCCTATAAAACACAATGACCTTCTTCTCAAGAGTGTTCAGTTCTGCAATATTGTACTGAATTTGAAAAGAGGGCATTGATTTTAAAACCGTTATGCAACAAAGCAATCAATTAGGAACATTATTTGTGATTTCTTTCCTTTAAATAAGCTACACAGACAGGAAGAAACTTTTTTAAAAATCAAATAAAAGGATACAATTGTTGAGGCATACATTGAAATTTTATTTCTTCCTTGTTGCAGTGATATATTACACCAGGGGTGTCAAACTTGCAATGTCACATGACGTGTCGTGACGTATCAAGACTTTTTTCCCATTGCCGGCAATGGGGTGGGCACGGTTTCGCCATGACACATCCGGCCTGCAGACCGGCAGTTTGATAACCCTTTATTACACTATTTTGTTATTAATGGTGTTAGTATCATTGTTTATTATTATTTTGTTCAATCCACACATACCCATGTTTTCCCGAAAATAAGATCTGGTCTTATTTTTTTTTCCTCCTCCAAAAGAGGCACTAGGTCTTATTTTCAGGGAATGTCTTAGTTGCTTATCTCAGTACTGCCACAGCCAGGCCTCCAACGCCCCGACACCTGTTGCACTGCCGCCCGACTTCTTCTACGGCCACTTGCGGTAAGACACCACGTGTTGCATTGCACCTGGTGATGCCACTCACAGCAGGACACCACCTAGCACGTTGCACCGAGGCTGACGCTCATGGCAGGATGCTAAGTGGACGGGATTGCTGCTGTTGGTGTTGCTGCCACAAAGCAAGGCAGATGTCAGGGTGTGGGAGGCCTGGCTGTGAGGGCCCTGAGGTAAGCATGTGTAGGGTGCGTGGGGCGGCTCCATCCCCCATCCCTGCCGTAGCTTGATTTTTACACTTACTCCTCACCCCCCCTCGTACAACCAGACTGTGGGACAGAGTGAGCGGGGTCTTAACTAGGGCTTATTTTGGGGGTAGGGCTTATATTGGGCGCACACATAAAAATCAAGGTAGGGCTTATTTTCAGAGAAACACAGTATACGTCCTCCCAAACTAATTCTGCACAGACTGAAAATTTTGATTTTCAGATACAATGCAGTAATGTAAATATATATCATAACAGCTATAGTAACCCTATGACACAATGTTTCTGTTTGTGCAAAAAACAAAGGGATAGATGGATGGCAGCAACAATATGAACTGAAAGATGTTACAGTGCCCTAAGACCAACTGTTATGGAAGCAAACACATTTAAAAGACTTAACAAAGAGAAAATACTTCCATAAATGAAAACTCAAAATACCTGAATCTGTGGCCTGTTCCTGAAGTCCTGAAAAGTTATTGACAAACAAAATACAACTACTGAGCCATATCTAGGCTTCTAATAATTTGAGTATGGCCTACAAATATGATCAGCACTTCAGAATTCTAATTATTAGAACAAAGAGGGCTAATTCTCAAGGCTGCTGAGATTCATTCAAAAGGCAAAGTCAAAATCAGATTCAGATAAGACTTCAGATATATATATCAGTGAGGTTTAACAATGTATAGTCTGAAAACAATGGCAACTATACCAGAAAAAAATACAGAATAAATGAAACATTCACAATTTCTGTAGTTAGAATCTTGCAGATTCATTAAAATGATAAGCAAATTGTTGGCCATCTTCAACTCTTGATTCATCTCTAATGATCTCTGAATGCTGCAAAATTAACACTGGCTAGTACTATAATTTAATTTTTTTTAAATGGATTAAATGCAGGTTTGGCTGTACTTCTAACTAATGAAATGAATGGTATTAAAATGAATCGTCACTAATATTTAATTCAGTGGCTCCTCTCTGCTTACAAGCATAAATCTACAGCACTATTAAGTTAGCCAATAATTATTCTTAAAACCCATTGATGGATTACATCCACTTTAAAACCTAGAGGAAACTTCTAAAGTACTTACTTCTCTATGGCAGAAACATCCTTAGTTTCCAATTTCCCTTTGGTCAAAAGTTCAGGAGTGATTCGCCCCTCAAAAAGGAGACCTTCTTTGGCCATTTTTACAAGGATAAGCCTGACAAGTTCACCCATGTACATTCCACTGACCATCTTTTCAAATCTGAAAAGAGATTTCACGAAAAATGTCGTTCAGTCATTCAAACTAATACACAAAAGCGCATCTTACTCAGAATCTATAAGGTTGCAGCTTTATATTTACAATCTTATTCATGAAAAAAGTTCTATATTTGGGGGGGGGGGAGGTTTGTTGTAAATCACAGTCTCATGGCCGGAGGAGGCTGCAAACAGTTGTAAATGCAGGCCACTTACCAAGCATCCAAAACATAATCATATGACTGCGGGGGGGGGGGAAGGAAGGGGGCAGCCATTTGAACTTCAAAACCAGGTTGTAACCTTTGCGGGGGCTTGTTGTACTTATGTACGTAACTTCTGGGGGGCTTGTTGTAACTTCAAATGATTACTAAGCAAACAGTTGTAAATTGAGGATTGTCTGCAAACTTTTTGGAACACAGCCATTTGTTTTCACTTTTGTTGGTATTATTTCGAATAGCCAAAAGCTTTAGTAATGTATGATGGTAATATTATGACATAATATAGTCTAGGATTAGATGATGCAAGATATAATTATTTCAATTACAGTTGCTTCCCAGGATTAAGGGAACCCCGATCAATCTCTCTGTCAAATTCAGTCCGGATGTCTTCTAATAAGCCATCATCTCCAAATGCACCCCATTCGGTGTTGATGCACATGCGGCCTTCATCACCTTCCACCAGATCAATGTGCCTCATTTCTTCCATATAGCAGGCATTTGTACCAGTACCTTAAAAGAAGCAAATGGGATTATGTCATCTCAAACACAAAATCAAAATTCTATTATGAGTTATTCTGAACAAAGAATTAGTACCGATAATTAAGCCAACTTCGCAACGCTGGTCATCAAATCCACAGGTCATCATTGTCCCAACAGTGTCATTAACCACTGCCATGATGTCCGCATCATAATCCTTTAGAATGAAACAGAGTATTTTCTTATATATCAGACAATTTAATTATCAGTGTTGATCTGAATAGTCTAAATGTCAAACCCCACAAACTTTGGCATGTCAAGCATATCATTAGGTTAGCCAACAGATCATGGTTTTGTATTTTGTTCTTACTATTGCACACAAGACAGATTGTCTCCTCGAAATGTAGCATTATTTTCTTTTCAAAAAAGTCCCTCATCAAAAAGCTCAAGACTCTCCCTTTGTGACTCAATCCTAGGCGTAGCCACTTTGGGACCAATAAAAAAACTACCGTGATTTGTAGCTTTGTTAAAAGCGCCTGTTGTTGTTCTTACCACAATACCTTGAGAATAATTCTCATTCAATGGAGTTTACTAATGGACTTGTTTCTACATGAAAGGGGTCAATGGAGTTATAGTGCAACAATCTGTTACTTCAGAGTGGATTGTTTAAAGCAGGGGTGTCCAACCTTGGCAACTTAAAAACCTATGGACTTCAATCCCCATGCTGTCTGGGGAATTTTGGAAGTTGAAGTCCACAAGTCTTAAAGTGGTCAAGCTGAACAACCTTGCTTTAAAGTTTTGGCCATCTGAATATATTTAATATAGAAATCAGCCTGACAATTATCTTGACTCAATAATTTTGCTAGGAATAAAATTAACAAGTATCTTATAATTTCTCAACAACTGATAAACAACAGGAAAAGAAATTTAATTCATCTAACAATGCATGTACAAAATCAGCCAATTCATCTATGCTTTATACAGATAGCAAAAACACATTCTTACCCCACGTTTCTTGATAGCTTTGTTTAAGAGACTCACTACGTCAGCTCCTTCGACACCACTTGCTTTGAAACGTTTTGTCCAGGTAATCAGAAAACCCTAGAAAAATTAAACTATTAACACACTAGCCAAATTACAGGACATTCATGACACTTCTTTCCACCAACACATCACTTATTTTGGGCAGGTGGGTTGGAATAGTTTAAAAATAATGGAAAATCTGTTCAAAAGTGGAGCAATGTCAGCAAACCTCCTGCATGTCCATGAGGTACTTAATGCAACTAAAAACAAAATTAAATCACAATATTTTATTTTAAATCATTGAGATTAATCGATCAGAATACAAGCAATGTCACTGCATATTATTCATTCTTGCTGTATTTTGACTCCCATTTCAACACCCCACAATTCTGGGACTGAGCAACTGCTTTCAAAGATATACTTGATCTCATATGCAAATTCTTCCCATCTGCATGGAATGCCATTTGCATGGAATCTCATTGGTGTTGATATAATGCAGGGGTCTTCAAACTTGGCCCTTTTATGACTTGTAGACTCCAACTCCCAGAATTCCTCAGCCAGCATGCCTGGCTGAGGAATTCTGGGAGTTGGAGTCTACAAGTCATAAAAGGGCCAAGTTTGAAGACTCCTGATATAATGTGATGCATACATGAAAATTCTGCAGCTTCCTATAACTTCACAGTACTAAATTTTGAAGATGGTTTTAATTCAATTGCTTTCTGAAGCAATTACACTGTAGTACTAACAGTATAGTACCTGTTATTATGTTATATTATATTCATATCATCAGATTCTTCCAACTAAAAAAGTAGAAATGTTCAGTAGAAAGTCCCTAATAAAATTTCAACCATCTTCTGATTCAGCCAACAAGGACTCTTTTGGAAACCCTGCAAAACCAAAGAATTGAACTTGGTCATGTTTGCACAGTATGTTGTTAGTGGCACCAAATCAGGTTTGACTCCTGAACACGCTATGGACAAATACTGACATCTCTAACTATTGTATTATAATAATAATAGATAAGTGTTTCAAAGACAACCTGGTAATCTCTTTGATCCTATCCATCCACGATAACTCTTTTCTTCCTTTGTGCCTACTTCCTCAACCTGGCCAAGAATAGACATTTTCTTGTCCATTATCCATTCATAGCACACATTCAAATTATATGAAATTTGGCTTGCTAAAAATCACCTTAATTCAAAGGAGCAGTCACTCTTTAGCTGATCCAGGATAGATCTTTTTTTTCTTGCAGTTCGTGGTATCTTAATAGCCATTTCAAGATTTTTAATCTGATGGCATCTGTCTTCTTTTGCTTGCTCTCAACAAGTAACCAGCTTCCATAGTTGTACATAACCTCCAGAAAGGCCATTGTAGTAACATACTGATCCTCATAGTCACTATGCCTTTGTCCTTCATGATCTTAGTGATTCTGTTATTCTGTTAAATGACTGCTTTTCTTCCTCGAATTAATCTCTTTTTATTTTTCCAGTACATTGTTCATCTTTATCAGCTCTTGAGCAAAGAAAACAAAACTATCTACTACCTTCATATTTTTGTCATCAACTATAGGATTGCTAAGCATACAAGTGAATATTATTTTTGTCTTCTTCATATTTGCTGCTAACCTAGATTTTTCACATTCTATGTTTACTTGCCTAATGAGCAAAATTTTCTATTCTTTCAGCAAGGAATTGTGATGTTGTCTGCATATGTCAAATTATTAAGTTTTTCCATCTTTTTCTATTTTGCTATTTCTTTATATTTGCTGTTTTTTAAATTACACAAATGCAGGGGCAATAATCCCTGTCTCATTTTTCTCCCCATTCTGCACAATTTTATCCTTACTAATTCCTAATTACACGCACACCTATCCTAGCATCATTTACATCAGTATTTCTCAACCTTGGCAACTTGAAGTTGTGTGGACTTCGAATCCCAGAATTCACCAGTCAGAAATCCACTGATCTACACAGTTAAAGGCCTTGTTCAAGTCAATGAAACGAAAGGAAATCTTGTATTCTCTTGTTGTCTCCATTATTCATTTCATGCTACTTAACCTATGACATGTCCCTCTGCCTTTTTGGAAACCTTCCTATTAATGCAGCATTTCTGTCCCTTTGCAGGTGCCTATTTTTCTTTATAAGATCCTACGCAAAATTTTGCTAGCATTAGGAAGGAGCATGTAACCTGGGTATCTGTTCTTTGGTATTCACAACTTTTTTTCAAAATCACACCATTTCACTCCAAATTTGTTGATACAGAGCTATTACAACTTTAATTGCCTCTTCTGTAGCTCTAAATAGTTCAGAAGGTATTCAGTGACTATTGCACAATACATTTAAGAACACCTTTCTAAGATCTCATACAACTGCTGATTCCAAAGGCTACTTGCAAATCACCCTCTATGATAAGTTTAATCCTACCAATGTAAGGAAAACCAGGAATTCACTGTGTAAAGCTGTGATAGGCTGCAATAAGAGTTACTGGCCTCATACAGAGTTCCCAGGAGATATATTCACTATTTAAATATCAGAAAGCTAAGTCTAAAATGTGAATGCACCCAGTGAGCACCCAATCCACTTTATAAAAACAGTTTCCTATGTTCTATCCACAATGTAGGTTCTGCAAACATGTGATTAGACATACCTCATCTAGTTTAGATTGCCTACATGGGAATGAAAATGTGAACCCAACAGGTAATTTCTTGTCCTTAATTTCTTGTTTCTCCATGAAGTCTCCCAGACATTCAGCAACATGATCAAAAAGCTGAGAAGCAAAACAAAGATAAAAGAATGTTAAGAAGTAATCTAATAATATTAATTACACTAGTAGAAATGCATTACAAACTGTAATATAAAAATGAGAAAAATGATTAAAGAACCTATAACTATTACTTTTGTGGCAACAGTTGATTATTTCAGATTAGGACAATTTCTTTTTTTATATTACTTTAACAAAAAATAAATACCATGAAATTTAGGAAGCAGTACCACCCAGAAAAGATAAACCAAACCTGATACAATATTTCTGATCCACTTATACTTGTGAACTAATTGTGTGATCATACTTTATTAAGGAGGCCAAGCTTAATGCTTCCTAGGCTATGGCATTTCAACAATGTATTTTTCTATTCACCCACAGTATCGATCCCATGCAAAAAACCTGATATTTCTTAAAAGTACACCCAGAAATTGCTTAATATTTAACATGCAAAATGGGTGTGTCTAATGCAGCATAATGCAAGCAAATGATGCAGAGTTTGATTAGAATATGATGTCAAGGCTGTGTCTCTTCCCATGCTATGGAATAGGTCTGACAACAAGTGCTACAATAAGGAATAGGAACTAGCAACCCAGTACAATAATACGATGTCTGATCATCTTCACCAAGAGTTCATCCTCATTAAGCCAAACACAAATTACTTCATTTTTTACAAAGCTCTTTAACCACATTCTTCTCATTTATTTTCCCCTCAAAATTCCTTTTTTATACATTTTCAGCAAAGTCAAAAATATAACACGGCCATCTCATCTTCCAGATGCACCGAGACTTCAAAATTCCAGATAGCTGTGAACCTAACAGATCTGTAGAGTGCCAGATAGGGAAGATCAATATTACTGGTATGTTTCCTATTTTGAGATTTAAAACAAACAAAAAACCTGATGATCTGCGTTTTAACGTGATCAGATCTATTAAGTCTCCCAAACTGTTATGTGTAACTTAATGTCACTGGGAAAGCAAACAGCATTTGCCAAGTAGAATCAAACCTGAAAATAATGGCAAGCCATAATGCATTTATTTAAATGTTTGATCTTCGTTCATTAAAAAGAATAAAGAATAAAGTACCCAGTCTGGGAAGTGATATATATTTTGATGGTGAACTTAATAGATGTGTGTCAAAGCTGACACACCACAAAGTTCGGTATGGCATACTAGCATTTATGCCAATGTTCACCAACATCTGACAACTACGCTCAAAAGAATGCCCTGTTCTCATGTGTGGCCTCCAGAGCCTCTGAAAATCATGCAAGAACATGCTGTGCTTTCACAAGGTTTCTGGAGACTGCAGAAGTCATGGAAGAGTATTTTCCAAAGCTGCTGCAACAAGAATGAAAAGCTCATGTGACCACAGCAGCCTCAGGTAGGCAATAGGGGCCTATCAATGAAAGAGAACACCATCTGAAAGTAAGCAGCATGCAGCAGATCCTGGGGAGCAAATTTGTGGGGTTTGTGGGGGCAATTGCACCATTCCACAAGGCTTGCACGCCTTGGAGAATGGCACGAGGCAGCCTTTTTGAGTGACAGCACTGGTGCAACAGCAGAAGTTGAGGACCCTCACTGTTGCCGAGGGCTGCTTCGCAGTAACCCAGATTGTGTAGTGGGGGCAGTGAGAGATAGAGAATTGTCTCTCTTTTATTCAGGGAGGAAGCTGTGGTGACAAGGTAGGAGAGTCAAGCTAGGCACTTCCCAAATTTTTGATACTCCAAGCCCAAAGGGGTTTTCATCGCTATTATACTTCATCCAATACCAACAGCTATCATAGCTTTAAATAACTGCTGAAAATGTATCAGCTGTTACACTTGCAAACTCACACATTGTGTGATGCTTACAAAAACAGGTGAGGTGCTTCAGTGAAAACAATCCATGATGCAAATCAGAACCTTTGATCACAAGACCACCGAAGGTGCTTTCTCATTCTGCCATGATCATGCTGGAAGCAACCAGACTAAAGTTTTCAAGAACTAATCAGCAGCAAAAACAGAAATCATCTTGGCACTGACCATCTCAAAGTAAGAATTTTTGCATTAGCAATGCCAAAGGATGCCAGAGAAGAGCGCCATTGCCAAACAGGCCTAATCATCATCCTTTAGGTTCAACAGCCATGCCGCCAGAGCTCAGAACCCCAGTCATGAATGTACATCTTGGGAAAAGCAAGAGAAATGACAATGGATGGTGTCGTGAAGGTTTTAAAAAAGCAGCATCGGTGACAGCAGATACCAATTCTATAACTTACATAAGAGATTTAAGTGGAGGAAGTAGGAGAAATTCTCCTGCCTTCCTTGGCTTCAACAACCATCCATATAATGTCCGCAGCTTAAGCTGCTGGCTGCAAAATGTATACATAAGAATCAAGACAGAAAAATCCTTTGGTGAAAAAATAAACACAGAAGGTCTACCCTACAACAGAATATAGCAATCAGGCAAAGGAGCTTCAAATATGAAAACAAAAGTTTCCTCCTTGCTGACTTGTTTCTCTAAAACAGACTCCTTTGGTCCTTCTGTAAAAACCCTCCCTTGTAGCACCCACTGACTGGGTTCACACAGCATACATAAAACCCAAAAGTTGGTTAATGCAAACACACCCTTTTGCATACGGTTGTTATATTAATTATACCATCTGAACAAACAAGGAGCAATATGTTCAGGCACCTCTAACCTTGTTTATACTTTTTTATTTTTAATCAGATCAGGTCAAATATATTTATTACAATATTTGAGCAGCCAATACTTTTAATAAAGATGTAGCATTCTCTACTTCTTTCAAGTAATATTAAAAGTTGGAATATAGATACTTTTCAACTTATGGTCACAATTATAATAGATTTTTGGTTGTAAGTCATTATAGTTATAAGTTGACTGAACCCAATTTTAGAACAGTTTTCCAGGAGTCATTGAATCCATGGTCAGTAAGTAAATGCCACTGTCCTAAGTGCAAACTCATTCTTACAAACAGGCTTTTTTTCCCAAAACCACCAAAAAAACAGCACAAATCGCAATGGTGCGACTGCAGGTTGCGGCAACAAGTACAGGTATTCCTATACCGTCCCTCCCAAAATTCACAAGGTTGTATCCATGAAGTTATTGGAATAGCGTTCAACTCCAGGAAATAATTTATTTATTTTATTCTCAAGAAAGCATTGCCGCCTAAGGCACTGTACTGAGGAATTTTCTTCTGAACAAAGTTACATCTTTAAAATGTTTAATGATACTCACCCATCCCAGGACACAGTACAGAAAAATAAAAATGGGTTAAGAAACATATGAAGAAACAGAATAAACAGAAATACATATTTTTAACTCACGGCTAAGCCAGTACATCCCCGCTCATCACAGAGGACTTGTCTGTCTGCTGTTCAGCTAGCTTTCACTGCCTATTTGATGTACACTCTACTTTTCTGTGCTAGTGAGCAAAACTGCCATGTTTGTAATAGGTGAACTAGAAGAAATTACTACAAAAAGACAATTTTTGTAATAAAATCTGGCATTCTCCACATTTTTTTCAGCAAGAAAATGGCAAGAGGAAATTTATCCCAAAATGTATTTTCTATCTTGTCAAAAAACATGTTTTAGGATTTTCAATATTCCATTTCCTTGAATATTAAAATTACAAATTAATTTTGTTTTTCCTTTCTGAATTAAGGAAACCCAAGAGATGATCCCAACTTAACAAGCAACAAGGGAAGCGTTCAGAACGTTGATTATAGACTTAAAGAGGAATCTACCCGTGTGCCACTGCCGTGCGTAATATCTTCTGGCGTTTCGTAAATCTCAGTTTCCATTTGCACCATCTGCTTTTTCTCGTGTGAGACTTTTACTCTCAAAATTCGGAAGAAAGAGCCACCAAGATCCAGAGCAATGAAATCTCCTTTTTCTGTTGGAAAGAAGCAGATGTCATTTTAGGCATTAGAAGCAGGCATTTACATTTTCCTACCCATTAAGTAAACTACCCTTAGTGTGCTAGACAAGCAGACCCGTGATTCTGACCTTTTCTAACTTAGGAAATTATCATTTTCCGATCTAGATAAATCAACTGAGAACATTTGCCTCAAGCCTATCTAATAAGATTAAGGTAGTAATCTTGAATCATTCTGAAATTAAGATTACCCATTAACATAGTCATTGTAACAAGATAAATTGCTCTGTGCTTACACAGACTAGACAAATACAAAAGACCACACACACGGTGTACTTCAACTTCCCCAAAATCTTTCAAGCTCTGCACCAGCCCACAAGAAGTGCAGATGTGATGGGAATACAATTTCTAGATATTAGGTCAATCCAGATGGGAAAGATGTCAAATTCTTTTTTAAGTACGGTTCTCTTTTCAGGTACAATTTTGTTTTGATAAGCCAGCATCCTCAACCACCTTGCAGTTTAACCAACTTTACTGAACAGTTCTGTGTGACATGGGAGGACAGAGGAAGGAAGGAAAGAACACTAAGTACAGTCCTCCACTTACAACAATTCATTTAGTGACCATTCAAAGTTACAATGGTACTGAAAAAAGCAATTTATGACCATTTTCCCCCATGGTCACGTGATCAAAATTCAGAGGCTTGGCAACTGATACATAATTATGACGATTGCAGTGCCCAGGGGGGGCATTTGATCATCTTTTGTGACCTTCTGACAAACAAAGTCATGGGCAAGTTAGATTCACTAAACAACCATGTTGTTAACTTTACAACTGCAGTGATTCGCTTAACCACTGTGGCAAGAAAGATCGTAAAATGGGGGAAAATTCACTTAACAAATGTCTTACAGCAGGGGTGTCAAACTCAATTTCATTGAGGGCCGCATCAGCATTGTGATTGCCCTCAGGGGGCCAGGTGGGTGTGGCCAGGGTGGGTGCAGCCTACTGGGTGGGCGTGGATGGAGTGGGTGTGGCCTGCTGGGTGGGTTTGGCCAGCTCTACACCGTTTGCGTCAAGGGGGCCTGTGGGGGCCTGGGCAGGAGTGGGATAGATCTGAGGGTCTCTGGCAGAAGGGGGTGGGACCAGGGCAAGTGCCAAGGCATGGTCCACTGGAGGAGCCTCACTGTTCCTCTCAGGCCATGCGGGGGAGGCTTATGGAGCTAAGACTGAATGCGTTTCAGCATAGATGGCCACCACAGAATTGTACATTGGCTCCCGGCTGGCCTGCACCAGGGCCAAGGCAGAGGGGGCCGTTCCCTCACTGTTTCCAGGATGGCTTCACGGGCCACATGAAACCACTTCGCGGGCCACATCTGGGCCCCGGGCCTTGTGTTTGACATGTCTGTCTTACAGCAAAAGACAGACAATAGTCATTGTCATTGGGCCAAATTGTGGTTGTGAATCAAGGACTACCCGTAAAACTACTGAAACTGTTTCCCTTCTAGGCAACAGCAGTTGGTGAGCAGCAGAAGAACAAAGGGTGTTGCTCTCTATCACTCTGAGGTCCTCTTCCAGCAATCAAATTATAACTGAAGAGACTTCTTCTAAGAGGACCTCATCCCGCTTCCCAGCAAGGAGGGGCAGTCTAATCATGCCTTATCTAAATCTTCCTGCCTAATTCTAGTAAAGATTGTTCAACCCCCAGCCATACTGAAGGACCAGTGAAGCTGTGCAAAATAGAATAGAATAGAATAGAGCTGGAAGGGACCTTGGGGGTCTTCTAGTCCAGCCCCCTGCTCAAGCAGGAGAACCTATACCATAATGTTTCTCAACCTTGACAATTTTAAGACGTGGACTTCAACTCCCAGAATTCCACAGCCAGCAATGCTGGCTGTGGAATTCTGGGAGCTGAAGTCCACATCCCTTAAAATTGTCAAGGCTGAGAAACACTGCACCATTTCAGACAGGTGATTGTCCAGTCTCTTTTTAAAAACTTCCAGCAATGAAGCACCCACAATTTCTGGAGGCAAGCTGTTCCATTGGTTGATTGTCCTCACTGTCAGGAAGTTTCTCCTTAATTCCAGGTTGCTTCTCTCTTGAGAGCCAACAAGGAATTTCATGTAATGCCACCATGCTGTCATTATTCTGGCATCTATTTAGAAGAACCAAAGCCAAGCACTCTCTCAACTCAACAAGGCACGTCTTCCCAAGCAATATCACAATGTTTGTTGGATTAGCATCATTTCCAAACTCAACACCGATAGTCGCAGGGAGAACAAGTGAGGTCACATGAGTTGTGGCATCATCATACAAATGGCAAAAATGGCAACTGATGAAAACTGTACAACTCGCCTCATTGATGTGATGCCATCATAACATATGTGACATCAACACAATTCTTCCAGATGCCAATGCACTGCATTGCACTTGTGGAGATCAAACTATGTGAAATGACACTGTCAGGAGGAAGTACTTCACATTATGCCAAGTGCGCAAATAGACTTTATCACTGTCTGCCCATTGATTGCTTAAAAACAAGCCATTATCACAAAATAAGGCCTCAAAGATAAACGGTGGACAGATGGTGCCTTTTTTTTTTTCAGTACAGTTTAAACAAATGGGGATTCTGTAATAGCTAGTAAACTAACCTGTGGTCTGAAAACAGAAATCAGATGCCCAGTCAACAAAATACTTGAAGGACATTCAAAGGTAAAGGCAAATAATGATTAGGTGTTAATGAATTAATTCCGTATTATCTGCATGGGAGGCTATGACCTGAAGTTTGTTTTCTCTTCTTCCCACTTGCTCCTGTCTTGCAATTTTAAAATGCAAGCAAACTGCAATTTGAACTATCCATTGCGCACTGTATCTAGATTTAATAGAAAGTGTGGTTTTGCTAGTATCTCAGAAGTGAGAGTTTACAATCATGTGATAAGAAAAGCAAGGAGAAAGGAAGGATGCTAAAATCAAAGGATGTCTCTGCCCATGGTATACAACTAATGACTGATGTACTCACAAATGTCTAGTAAAAGCCATATGCAATGTATGATCATTCTGTCGTTATGCAAATGATATAATTCATGACATGAATGACATCATAGCACATGTGGAATTCTTTGCCTCTCATATGAATATGTTGTAATGCTTCAACTTTACTACTAAATTCTATATTTATGATTAATGTTAACTATTATTTTAATTCTTATGTTAGCCTTCTCCAGTCTGATTCTCTTCAGATATTTTGGACTATGAATTCATCACTCCAAATTAGCAATCCATAGCTAGTTTTACAAAAGCTCATAGAAGTTGCTGTCCATATTGAGAAAACCTACTTCAGGAAGAAAAAATTCATCACATATTCATAGTACTATCAGTAATTTCTTCTCCCCAGACTTACACTTGTGCTTTTGATATATGACCCTTTAAGAATAGTAACAAAAGCATTTCTGTACACAGTTATTAAGGAGGACTGAATTGATTTTTCAAATTTGACAATTTTTTTTTATTAAAAAGTTTTATAAATTTTACAAAAAATACAAAACAATACAAAAACAAAAAACAACATATACAAATAAAAAACAAACATTACCCAACAAAACCCCCCTTCCCCCACCCCTACCCAGACCCTCCCCCCTTCCCCCCCCCTGAGCCTCCCAGAGCAGAATATAGGCTTAGTTAAAAGAAGATTAAAAAAAATTATATTTATAAAAAAAAGAAAATATAAAATAAAAGATATATATATGTATATAAAAATAAAGATTATAAAAAGGCTATATAATATTTTTTTATATCCAACTTAAATTGTATAAATTTTATCCATTTATCCCAAACAGCAAGAAATTTCTCTTGTGTTTGTCCCTTTAAGAAAGCCGAAATCTTTGCCATTTCCGCCAAATAAGACACTTTAAGAAACCATTCCTGCAATGTAGGCAAAGATTCCTTCTTCCAATATTGTCCTACTAACAACCTCGCAGCTGTAATCAAATTTAACATCAATATAACCTCCTTTGTATCACAATCAGTAACTATACCTAACAAGAATAATTGCGGAGTAAATTTTACCCTCCTTTTAAAAATTCTCTGGATACTCCACCATATCTTAATCCAAAATGCTTTTATCTCTCTACACGACCACCAGATATGATAATAAGTAGCATCCATACAACCATATCTCCAACATTTAGGTTTTAAGTCAGGGTACATAAGAGACATTTTTTGTGGATCAAGGTGCCATCTATAAAACATTTTGTAAAAATTCTCCCTTAAGTTCTGTGCTTGCGTAAATTTGACATTTCTCACCCAAATAGTTTCCCAGGTGTCCAATGAAACTGGCTCACCAAAATTCTGCGCTCATCTAATCATACAATCTTTAATTAGTTCCGTTTCTGAATCCAGTTCAACTAGAACCCCATAAATTCTCTTAATGTGGGTTTGTCTTTGATCCTTCACTTGCTTAATAAGATTTTCATCTTCTCTTAAAAAACCCACCTTACAATCCATCTTCCATCTATCTGCTAATTGCCTATATTGGAACCAAGAATAAATGATATTTTCTTGTGCTAGCTCTTCCCGTGATTTTAACTGCCAGTTTTGTCCAGCCCATCTAAGTAACTGTCTATAAGACACCATATCCATTTTAACCCCTCTTTTTATTCCTTCTATTGCATGCCAAGGTATAGCCCATAATGGTACTTTGAAATCACTTTTATAGTATTTTCTCCAAATCCTAAGTAGAGGAGTTCTTAAAATATGAGATTTAAAAGCCCAGTCCACTTTTTTATTAAATATTAAATAGGCATGCCACCCAAAAAGTAAATTCCATCCCTCTAAATGGAGTATCTCAGAGTTTGTCAAATTTACCCAGTCACTAACTAATGTTAGAACCACCGCATCATAATATAATTTCAAATTCGGTACCTTGAGTCCTCCCCTCTCACAGAAGTCTTGCATAATTTTAAACTTAACCCTTGGCTTTTTCCCTGCCCAAATAAATTTATTGAGACCTTTCTGCCATTCAC